TATATATATATATATTATCATCAGGAAATATGTTAATTAGAAAAATATTGCTAATTAATATGATGAAATATTAAAATTTTAAAAAACGATACCTTACGTAAGCTTTGCGTGTTTAAATAATATTTTTTATTTGGCATATATAAAATGTAATGTGTTATAGCGTTAACAATGGATTGTTTGGTTAACAAAATGATAAAATGTGATAAATAATCATTTTGATAAAGGCTTTAATCACATGAATTGTAAATTTACAAATGAAAATTTTCCCTAGCATTTATTTGGAATTAAAATGTTTAAACAGATGAAAAATATGTATTGCTATAATTTAAAAAAAAAAAAAAAGACATTTTTCAAGTAAACAATTTGCGCCTCTAACTGATACTAATAAAAATCAAAAAACATATACAAATATTTGCATCGGACAATGCTTATAAAATGAAATATTAAAGAGAAGAAAAAGAAAAGAAAAAAAAGGGGGAGAAGATATTTTCAAAAATATAATCTCATTTGGATTTAAATTAAAAAAAAAAAAGAAGAAGAAGACAACCATCAAAAGACAATTTATTTAATTTTGTTAAAAGTGCAAAAAACTAATTAGTTAATAAGTTTAGATTTAATACAAAGAAAAAGCAAAGTTATTGAATTTCTTTTCTTTTTTTTTATTTTGTCACAGAAAGAAGCGAAAAAAAAGATAGCACTTAAATTTATTCATTTTTTTTTTAAATTTAAGTTTGATAATTGAATAAATTGAAAAGAGAGTGGGGAGGGGGAGGGGGAAAGAAAGGAAGGACGAGGAAAAACGGAATAGAATGAAAATTTACTTGTAATCGGAAATAAATTGATAAAAAGTTATTAAATTTCAAACGGAATTTTTTCTTCTTTTATTAAATTTTCACTCTTTTTTTTTAAAAATTCCGTTGCAAAATACATGTAGAATTATCGCTGAAACATATGCATTGAATTATTTCCGGAATATTTATCCGGAATTCCTGGAATACATATATGGAATTATTCGCTAATATATTTTTTGTTAATTCTTCCAATATATGTATGGTATAATTTTCGGAATATATTGAGAATTATTTACAAATTATGATGACATACTTTTATGAATAAATTTAATTTAAACACAGATAATAAGTAGGATTAAATGAATATAATGATTAAAGTGTTGAAGGGATAAATTCACTTGAAAGAAGCCAAGAAAGCTAAATAACATATTTGGCCAAGTTATGTATGTACTTAATGATGCCAAGTAGTTTAAGATGATTTATCAACTTTTTTTTTTTTCCATTTATTTTGTTTTCATACATGCAAACGATTTATAAATAATTTATATGACAAAAAAAAAAAAAAAAAAA